AGTTCTACAGATTTTAAGGGAGCATCAGTTATATGCCAAACCATCCAAGTGTGAGTTTTGGTTACATGAGATCCAGTTTCTTGGACACGTCATATCATCTACAGGAGTGGCTGTTGATCCGAGTACAATTGAAGCTGTGCTGGATTGGGAGAGACCCAAGAGTGTTACTGAGATCCGAAGTTTTCTGGGTTTAGCAGGATACTACAGGCGGTTTATTAATGGATTCTCCAGAATTGCCTTGCCATTGACTAGGTTGACCCGAAAAGGGGTGCCATTTGCATGGACCCTTGGGTGTGATGTGAGTTTTCAAGAATTGAAAGATAAGTTGACTACCACACCGGTTCTGATTCTTAATATGGAGACACTTCTTGTATGGTGCTACCTTCACAGTTTTTAAGGATCACAAAAGCTTGAAGTATCTATTCGATCAAAAGGAGCTTAATATGAGACAAAGGAGATGGATGGAATTCCTGAAGGATTATGAGTTTGACCTTCAGTATCACCCTGGAAAGGCGAATGTAGTGGCTGATGCCTTGAGCAGAAAGACCACGGGTGTGGCTAGCATGATGATTGCAGAGTATGATTTGATTGAGGAGTTCAGGGATTTGCGAATTTCTGTGACACCATTTGAGACTTCATATTTCATGACTACGGTCGAAGTTCGAAATTCGTTAATGGAAAAAGTTAAAGCGGCCCAAGTGCTTGATGAAGGGATCCAAATGATGAAAGAGCAAGATTTTGTGTTCACCGATGCTTCTCATGTGAAATACTACAAAGATCGGTTAATTGTCCCGAAGGGACCAATGGTAGAAGAAGTGTTAACAGAGGGTCATATGGGTAAGTACACCATCCACCCAGGTGCAACTAAGATGTACCAAGATTTGAAACAGAATTTTTGGTGGTCTGGGATGAAGAAAGACATAGCCCAGTTTGTGAATAAGTGCCTTATTTGTCAGAAGGTAAAAATTGAGCATCAGAAGCCTTCTGGTTTGCTACAACCATTAGATATTCCGGAGTGGAAGTGGATGAGTATATCCATGGAGTTTGTTGTTGGATTACCAAGAAGCCAGGCTGGATTTGATTCCATATGGGTTGTGGTTGATAGGTTGACTAAATCCGCCCATTTCATTCCAGTCAAGACGACCTTTTCCACAGAGCAGCTAGCCAAACTATATGTTAGAGAGATTGTGAAGCTTCATGGCATTCCCGAAAGCATAGTTAGCGATCGGGATCCGAAGTTTACTTCACGCTTTTGGGAAGCGTTACATGAGGCCTTTGGTACTCAATTGAGATTGAGTACTGCTTATCACCCGCAGACAGATGGTCAGACAGAGAGGACCATTCAGACACTGGAGGACATGCTGAGAGCGTGTGTGCTTGAGCAGGGTAATACTTGGGACAAGTACCTGCCACTGGTTGAGTTCTCCTACAACAACAGTTATCATGCCAGTCTGGGCATGGCTCCTTATGAGGCCTTGTATGGCTGTAGGTGTAGAGCACCTACTTGTTGGACAGAGATCGGAGAAAGACAGTTATTGGGGCCAGACTTGGTCCAAGAGACTACGAAGCAGATTGAGATGATCAGAGATAGGCTGAAGAAAGCCCAGAGCCGTCAGAAGAGTTACTATGATGCCAAGCACAGACCCCTTGAGTTTTCTGAAGGGGATCATGTATTCATCCGACTATCACCTACTACAGGTGTTGGGCGTGCCTTGGGAGTGAGGAAGTTGAGTCCACGGTTCATTGGGCCCTACCAGATAATAAAGAGTGTCGGACCGGTGGCGTATCAACTTGCTCTACCTCCCAACTTGTCGAATTTACATGACGTTTTCCATGTGAGTCAACTCCGCAGATATATATCTGATGATTCACACATTGTACAGTATGATGACATAGAGGTTAAGAAGGACCTGAAGTTCGTTGTTGGACCTTCTAAGGTTCTTGCTCGAGATGAGAAACAGCTTCGAAATAGAGTTATTCCCATGATCTAGATCCAATGGGAAGGATTGACACAAGAGGATGCCACATGGGAGCGGGAGGATGATATTCTCCGGCAATATCCCGATTTTGATACCAGGTATGACCTGATTTTGAGGACAAAATCTTTTAAAAGGTGTGGTGAATATAATAACCCTAATTATATGACTTTTAAATTAGAGGGTTATAATGAGGACCTTATAGTCATAAATGGAATGAGCATAAAATTATAAGAATTTTGATACCCATATTGAGGTATTATGCACAGATGAATTTTCATTTGTTAAATTTGACTGCTGACGTAATAACAGTTAGTAGAATAGCTCCAAGTTAGAAAATTATAGTTAGAGAGCTAATCGAATGATATAAACATCATGAATGAGATTAGGATATGATTTGGTGAAGATTGATACCCATATTGGGGTATTTTTGAAAAGTCACTTCTGCGGGGTATTTTGTACTGCTGTAGCAGCATCCGGTAGAATCCCGGAACAGGAAAAAGATAAGAAAATAGAAATAAAGACCAATATATGCCTAACAAGTCATAATTAGACCAAAAATGTTAAAGTTAAGAAGATTATGAAATCCGGGTACAGTTAAGAACATCGGTAAAGACTACAGTGCAATTAAACAACTGTTAGTGGATCTGTGACCTACTAATCAAATTTTTAAGTTATGAACATGATAATTAGACAAAATTAATGTTAAGTACTTAAAGTTAGGGTCTTGAGAGTTTTCGGGTAAAAATTTGACGACGGATCAGTTAACAATTACACCGGGTCTCACTAAAGGACGAATATCACTTAAGTGACATGGCACCCCTCATTAGGGCACCCTCCTCTCCTTCCCTTCCATTTCTGATCAGCAGCCCCTTCACCTCCTTCTCTCTCTAAGTTTCAAATTTTGAAAACTCTCTCACTTCTCTCTAAGATTTCTTCACCTAAATCTCTCTAAACCACCAAACTTCCTTCACAAAGATTGTTCCCCTCACTCTCCTCTTCACAACCATACCATTTTCATGGTGTGAATCAAAAATTTCGTGTCCCTTATCATCCCAAACAGCCATGGTTTTGTGGAGAGCAAAGGCTATGGAGTTGTGTTCTTGAGCTCTCTTGAAGAATCACACTTGCTTGCTTGTTTCCTTTGATTTTTGGGTAAGTGTTCTTAAATGTTTTTCATGAAAAATATCATCTTTTCTTCTTATGTTCTTGAGCCTAACTCATGAGCATGTTCATGAAGGTGTGTGCTTGCCTAAAGGTGTGTTCTTGGTGGAAAAATGTGGAGACTTGAGCTAAAGGAGAAACCTTGAAGATGTAAGCTCCCACTTGGGAAATATGAACCAAAAAGCCTCCCTTTTTCTTGTTGAGTGCCTTGGTTTTGATATGTTCATGAGGAGAATGTTGTTTAAAATTTCATAATGTCATGGTTTGATGATGATTCTTAAGTGTGTGTGTGTTTGGAACCATGGAATGATGGATTGGATGACTAAAGGTGCCACCTTTGGACCTTTGAGTGATGTTCATGTAAAAAGATGACTATGAACTAAAAAATGGACCATGAACATTTCAGCCATATCATGTAAGGATAGGGTTTGATGACAAAAAAATGTGATTAAGTTGTTAAGTGTGGAAAAATGATTAGAAAGATTAACTAGGTGGGTTAACTCTAAGTAAAACTCACTAATCATGATGAATAATGGCTAAAAATCCTAATTAATATAGCTAATCAAATCTGCCCCATAAAGTACACAAGGGTTTAGTTGTGTTAAAATTACGGAGATGATGAATTAGGTGATTAATTAAGGGTAAAGATTAATTAACAAAAGTAATCAAGGATTTAACTCTAAAATTGGACTAAAGTAAGGTTTAGGTACACTAATTAAATAATTAGTAAAATTTAAGTATCATGACATAATGAGACTAAGGATATTTCATAATGTGACTTAATAATAGAAAAATCCAAGAATTAATGTGAATTAGGATTTACTGAAAACAGAAGCATGTACAGTTGTGGAAAACCGTAAAAGTGACACTTCCATGAATTTTTTCTCCCTCAATTATTACTCAAATTAGGCTCATAATATGTCTAATTAAAGATAAAGGTGTATAGTTGTCTACATAAAACTTTTAGAGCAAATGATTTAGTATAATTTCCATAATCGCAGAAATGGTAAAGGATGTTTAGGGCCCTGTTCGGAGTTGGCAAACAGCTTTGTTTGTCCAACTTCAAATGGTGATAACCGGAGCTAGCAAACTTCAAATGAGGCATATGATACCTTTTCAAATAAAGTCTTCCGCTGTGAATGTTAAATATCATGTATGTTAACAACCGGAGTACTACGGGGTGTTACATTTATGGTATCAGAGCAATTTCACCGGGACGTTCACTGATGTATTGCTTAAGTGTTAGAACTGTTTATTGAGTGTCTCTTGAGTGTCATGATATTGCATATGCTATCACTTGATTTAGCGTAGCTAACTCATACCTCGTGCAGTTTTGTGTAGTGATATGGCACCTCGAGGGAGACCCAGGCGAATAGTTCAAATCCCTCCTCCTGATCCTATTGTTGCAGCTATAGCAACATTGCAGCAGACCCTGAATGAAACCAGGGAAGCTGATTTGAAAAGAATCGAAGAGGCCAGAGATCGCGATAGAGAGCAGCTAAGAAAGGCCAGTGAAGACCTTATGGCGCAGAATAGGCTGGCCAATGCTGAGATGATCCGACTACTGTTGACAGAGGTACGAGGAGGACCTCCACCACTTCCTCCACCGCCAGTTACACCACATGTGCAGCAGCAGGTTGCACGTGCTGCTGGTCTCGTACTGATTCTTGAGCCTGTTGTGCTGGGACATAAAGGGTCAGGAGAGGCCCATCAGGAGGCGGAGGCATCTGTCCATGAAGGACTAGTGAGGCAGCCAATTATTGAGGTTGATAGATCAACTATACCACCCAGGTTTGACCGGGATACTAGAGAGCGTATGCTGAATGCTTTCAGGAAGCATTCCCCACCTCACTACAAAGGTGGAAGAGATCCCATTGCAGCATTGGAGTGGCTCCAAGAGATGGAGCGTATTTTTCAGGTTATGGAATGCGATGCCAACATGAAGCTCCTATATGCGGTGTACATGTTACAGGGGGATGCTTCTGATTGGTGGAGTAATGTTAGAAACCCACTTGAGTGCCAAGGTTATGCTATTACTTGGCCATTATTTGAGAGGCATTTTCTGCAAAAGTACTTCCCTGAAGAAGCCAGGGAAAGGAAGAAGAGTGAGTTTGAAGACCTCCGGCAGGGAGGCATGACTGTGGATGAATATCTCAGCAAGTTCAACCGCTTGGCAAAATATTCTTGTTATGGTAGAACTCCCCTCACTCCAGAAGACAAGGCCTTTCGATTCAGGAAGGGTCTGAATGATATGATAGCAGACAAACTGGCGGGTCATTGCACCAGAAATTTTGTGGAGTTGATCGAGCAGTGCCAGAATATTCAGGAGCACTATCGTACCAGGGGAAAGGAAGCAGCAGGAAAGAGCTTCAGTGGGAGGACTATGCCCTGGAAGAGTAAGGGCAAAGGTTTGCAAGCACAGCAGAACACCAAGTTTAAGAAGACTCCCTTTGTGAAGAATGGAAGCGGAATGTTTAGTGCAGGGAAGATTCCCACTTGTGCCAAGTGTGGGAAGATGCATACAGGTGTTTGTCGACTGGGGCAGAATGTTTGCTTCAGTTGTGGTCAGGCAGGTCATTATTCCAGAGAGTGCCCCAAGAAGACGGGGCAAGTTGCAGCCATTCAGGCGATCCCTATTCAGTCCGTGCCTATTCAGAGAGCCATAGAGGAGCCTATGGCGCCCACTAGTGCCAGGGTATATGCAGTGACACAGCAGGAGGCAGAGAGGTCTCCAAACCTTATCAGAGGTACTATTCTTATCAGAGGATATGCTTTTGATGCCATGTTTGATTCTGGAGTTACCCACTCCTTCATATCGGAATTTGTTGCTAATGGGGTACATTTACCCATTTGTGAGTTCACGCCTCCCATGGTAGTGAAGACTGCCACCGGAGACATTGTTTCTACTTCCTTGAAGTGCAAAGAAGTCAGATTCATATATATCAAAAGCTTGAAGTATCTATTCGATCAAAAGGAGCTTAATATGAGACAAAGGAGATGGAAGGAATTCCTGAAGGATTATGAGTTTGACCTTCAGTATCACCCTGGAAAGGCGAATGTAGTGGCTGATGCCTTGAGCAGAAAGACCACGGGTGTGGCTAGCATGATGATTGCAGAGTATGATTTGATTGAGGAGTTCAGGGATTTGCGAATTTCTGTGACACCATTTGAGAATTCATATTTCATGACTACGGTCGAAGTCCGAAATTCGTTAATGGAAAAAGTTAAAGCGGCCCAAGTGCTTGATGAAGGGATCCAAATGATGAAAGAGCAAGATTTTGTGTTCACCGATGCTTCTCATGTGAAATACTACAAAGATCGGTTAATTGTCCCGAAGGGACCAATGGTAGAAGAAGTGTTAACAGAGGGTCATATGGGTAAGTACACCATCCACCCAGGTGCAACTAAGATGTACCAAGATTTGAAACAGAATTTTTGGTGGTCTGGGATGAAGAAAGACATAGCCCAGTTTGTGAATAAGTGCCTTATTTGTCAGAAGGTAAAAATTGAGCATCAGAAGCCTTCTGGTTTGCTACAACCATTAGATATTCCGGAGTGGAAGTGGATGAGTATATCCATGGAGTTTGTTGTTGGATTACCAAGAAGCCAGGCTGGATTTGATTCCATATGGGTTGTGGTTGATAGGTTGACTAAATCCGCCCATTTCATTCCAGTCAAGACGACCTTTTCCACAGAGCAGCTAGCCAAACTATATGTTAGAGAGATTGTGAAGCTTCATGGCATTCCCGAAAGCATAGTTAGCGATCGGGATCCGAAGTTTACTTCACGCTTTTGGGAAGCGTTACATGAGGCCTTTGGTACTCAATTGAGATTGAGTACTGCTTATCACT